ACACAGTTCTTATTGATGTTTCTAGATTTCTTCCTTCAGAGTGCTAGGTTTTCCTTTAGATAATACAGATTTTTATGAACCCCTGAGGTGTCTAAGCTTCTCCCCTTTTATCACAGATTAGGGTTCTCTTCCCAACCCCTTTCACTGGCAGGAAGTTATTCTACTTGTCCCTAAGAAGCAAAAACTCCTTTTACTATTTGGCTTGTGTGGGAGTTCTCCCCCCCCCAATATAATTTATTCAATTTTCAAAATTCCAATAACAAGTAATAGCAATCGTTTACAGGATGTATATATAAACTTAACGGCATAAAAGAAAGCATTTTTCATAAGCTTAGTGTTGACATCAACATTTACCACAAATGAAGAGTGTCTATTATCTCTGGTATCGTTCCTTGAGAAACTAGATGGGATAAGATCGGTAGCCATATCACTGTAAATTCACCATATTCGCCAGTAGATTTTATTGGATTCATTATGTCAGATATTTTTTTTCCATTATGTAGAAGTTCCATAACTTTTTGAACCATAAGTTTAGGGACGGTTTAATTTCTGACTTCCATTTCGAAGCTATGGTTGTTTTGGCTGCGAATAATAATAAAGCAATTCTTTTTCTTTGTATAGTTGATAAAGCAGTTTCATTTCTAAGGTTCAAGAGTATAGATTCTGGGTTCTTTTTTATAGTGTGACCAGATATACACCTAATTGCCTCTAATATTTCATCCCAAAAGGGGGTTATGATAGGACATTCCATCCAACAGTGGATGTAAGTGCCATTCTCTTTGCAATTCCTCCAGCAGTGGGAGTTTGAGTTGTGTGTGATATGAGATAACTGTACAGGGGTCAAGTACCATTTCGCCATAATTTGTGTGGGAGTTCTCTCTAACTACCCAGACCTTCTGTTAGATCCTTCTCCAGTATCCTTTGTCTGTATAAGGTTGTTCTGTAGCTTTTCTGACTGAGAATTTAAGTTCTCCCTCAGAGCAGTTTTAATATATCTAGACAATGGGGTTTCCTCTTCTTCCCTCTGTAGAAGTACTTTTCTGACTATTGCCTGTAAGAAAACACTGACTCCCAATTGTCTCTTCCCTCAGAAGCCACCCTCTGGCTATTGATCCTGACGTTGGATTTCAAAAGACCCAACAGCAAAAGACCAAATTGCAGAAGATCTCCCCCCCCCAGATCAGCGGTTTTATTTTCTCTCTCAGCTGACGTTGGCCAATCAGAGAGTGAGTAGAGCAGCCAATCACCTAAGCTGTTCTCTCTAGGGAAGATTAATCCTTGGACTCCCTGGCTCTCTGATATATGCAGCATTTTTTGAAAAAACCCTGCTTTTCTGTGCAATCCATCACAGAGGGTTTCCTGAAATCATCTGGCTGTCCGCTGTTGGACATTTGCCCTAGGGCAGGGGACCCTGACCTTAGTGAGCCTGTGGGCACCTTTTGAATCCTGTTGGCTGTGGGCACAACCACCAAAATAGCTGCCGCAGGAGGTGGAGCCAACTACAAAATGGCGGTCATGGTAGGCGGAGCCAACCACATGGTGTCAGGAAGTGAGGTAAGGCACAACCCTTCAGCGTTTGAGGCAGAACTCAGTAATGCAGTGACGCTTCTTGTGCTGTGGTGGCCACTGTCGCAGAAGCAACTTAAAAAAAATCTTCACAGCCAATCGGATTTCCAGTGGCGCCCACGGGCACCACATTGGAGAACCCTGGCCCACATGATCCTACAGGGCTGGCTCTTGCGTCCCCCGGCTTGATAACTTTGCACGTTCTGATTCCCTTCCACGCGAAGGCCTGTCGTCGACTCTCCCGTTAAGTAACGGCTCGGCTCTTTTTTCTGAGCCTCTACGATTACAAGGCGGATCGCCTACCACAAAGGGATCCGGCTTCCGTGCCGGTAAACGGAGCACCTCGAAGTGATAGCTTCAGACTCAGGCGTTTACACTCTCTGGGAAGAGGGCAGACTTGACCTGCTGGCTCTTATTTCAGTTTATGCAGTTCCAGACAATGTGACATCTCCGGCAGCGGCTCCCGAGAGCCCCTCTCATTGTACATCTGTAATTTTATTCGGCCACACAATATGCCCAAGGAGGAGAGGGCCCCCCTTCCTCTCACTTCATCAGCAGGGAAGTAAGAGGACTTAATAATTGATGTCCAAGTTAGACTCCAGATAAGGGTGCCTTGAAACCCACACCTATCCGATCCAATCTGCCCGTGGGGTTCGTTTTTTTAAAACGATTATATTTTTCGATCTACTCCCTTGCCTTTGAACTGATTAACTGGAGAGGCTGTGCGGCGGCGGCGTTGGAAGGTCAAACTAGGACTCGGGAGATCTGCGTTCAGATCTCTACTGAACCCATGAACCACTTTGCTGGGTGACTTTAGGCCCACCCTGACCCGCCTCACAGGGCAGTTGTGAGATGAAATGGGGGTGCACACACGTGAAGCTGCCTCATCTTGAATCAGTAACAAAAGACCAGAAACCCGTGAATATAATAACAAATTTATAAATATAACTTGTAAATTTTTTATCAAATGTTCCAGTCTTAATATTGTACAAAATACCTCTGGTGTCAGTTCAATATTGAAAACACCTCCAGGTCCCAATGATTTTCTCAGTGAAGCAATGAAGTCCGATGTCGATGGAGTCAAGGCGTGGACTCTAATCTGGGAGAACTGGGTTTGATTCCCCACTCCTCTACTTGCACCTGCTGGATGACCTTGGGCAAGCCATAGTTCTGGCACAGCTGTTTTTGAAAAAGAGCAGTTTCTGTCAGAGCTCTCTCAGCCCCACCTACCTCACAGGGTGTCTATTGTGGGGAGGGGGAGGGAGAGGAGTTTGTAAGCTGCTCTGAGACTCCTTCGGGTAGTGAAGGGCAGGGTATAAATCCAGTCTCTTCTTCTCTTCTTCTTCTGTTAATGGGGCACCAGTAAATATCCTGGTTCCACTGTTCTTCAGGAACAGGTACCACAACTGAACATAATTAATCTACCATATTGCATTTAATCTTCCTGCTTCCTAGGTTGGTCTGATAAAACAGCTCCAAAATTTTCAAAGAAATAAAATTTTGGAGATTTTTTTATCAGACCAACCTAGGGAGGGAGGGAAGGGAGGCTTGGCTTTGTTTCTCTCCTCTGCGAAGCAGGAAATAGGAGAGACTGAACAAAAGGAGGAATGCGATGCAGGAAGCAGGAAGCAGTAGAGAGCCAGTTGCTCACAGGCTGGATAGCAGCCCTGCAGGGGTCAGATGTTTGACATCCCTGGGTTATGCCCTTGTCCCCTTCAGTCAGTTGACGGTCTTGCACATATCCTCTTGCAAAGTCCTTCTGTGCTTCAGCTGAGGCTAAAATGGATTGTGCCCTGCTTTGACAAATGGACCATGCTTCCTCTAGTGACATTAGAGAAAGAAAGTTCAGTTTGGTGTAGTGGTTAGGAGCATGGACTCTAATTCGGGAGAACTGGGTTTAATTCCCCACTCCTCCACATGCAGCTGCTGGTGTGACCTTGGGTCAGTCCCAAGTTCTTTCAGAGCTGTTCTCTCAAGAACAGTTCTAGGAAGAGCTCTCTCAGCCTCACCTACCTCACAGGGTGTCTGTTGTCGGGAAGGGAAAGGGATTGTAAGCCATTCTGAGACTCCTTCGGTAAGTGAAGGGCAGGGTATAAATCCAGTCTCCTCCTCCTTCGAGGATTTTCATTCTAAGTGTACTTATTTTGTTGCTCGGTTTCTAGAGGCCGCAGAGGAGTGTCGAAGGGAGGTGTTTTCAGATATGGGTTTTATTTAAGTTTCTCAGTTAAGAACAAGGGGATGTAAGCAGGGCTATTTTTGGGCAGGAACGCACAGGAACGGAGTTCCGGCTGGCTCCCGAGTTGGCCACTTCCAGCAGGAACTCATTAGCATAATAGGCCACACCCAACAGCAGAAACTCATTAGGATTGGCTACATTAGGGGTGTGTGGCCTAACATGCAAAGGAGTTTAAAAAAGCCCTGGGTTTTGACAACAAACAAGGTAAACAGAATAAGAAGGGAAAGGTGGTTGTGGCTGGATGACCACACTCCTGGTAACATGGTGGTGTGGCCTAATGGGCTAATGAGCGGTGTCATCAGGGGTGTAGCCTAATATGCTAATGAGTTCTTGCTGTTGGGTGTGGCCTATTATGCTAATGAGTTCCTGCTGGACTTTTTCTACAAAAAGAGCCCTGGATGTAAGTAAGTAAGTTTCACTAACTCCAAATGCTCAACTGTGGATTTGCTCATTTAGTGGGGTTCACAGCTGAGACCATCCTGGTCCAGTATTCAAATCAGTACTCCTCCACTCCCTCTATTATTATTTTGTTCCTTCCTTATTCCTTGGCAAGTGGTCATGGCTCACTGGCAGAACCTCTACTTGGCATACCGAAAGTCCCAGATTCAATCTCTGGCATCTCCAGTTAAAAGGATCAGGTGGTAGGTGATGTGAAAGACCTCAGCCTGAAACCCTGGCTCAGTGGCAGAGCCTCTGCTTTGCATGCAAAAGGTCCCAGGTTCAATCCCCGGCATCTCCATTTAAAAAGGAACAGGTAAGTAGATGATGTGGAAAACCTCTACTAGAGACCCTGGAGAGCTGCTGCCAGTCTGAGTAGGCAATATCGACCTTGTTGGATGGATGGTCAATGGTCTGATGCAATACAGGGTAGATTCATGTGTTCATTTGTTACCGTAGCATCAGGGGTCAGTTGGCCCCGGAGCGCACAGGAGCGGTGCTCCGAGAGTGAGGAGCCTGGGGGGGGCGGGCAGATGGCGAAGCCCCGCCCCCTGCTCCCAGCAGCCCTCAGTCGGGCCACGAGGAGGCAGAAGAAGGCTCCTGCACCTCTTTTTCTACGAAATGACCCCCACATAGCATGGAGTGAGGGGAGTTAGCATGGACACGCTCACACGAGAAGGAAGAATGTAATGCTCTGGCCAACTCTCCCAATGACCAAAGTTCTTTTACTTTTCTTCTCTCTCTTGTACTGTTGCAGGACTGCACCTTCTTCACACGAAAGGAGATCCTTCGGTAAGCAGACCACCCTCCGTTCTGCTCTGATAACTTGGAGAGGACAAGCTAAACACTACTCAATTATCCGGGGGCAGATTGGGAAGTTAAAATTGCATGGGGGCCAAGATGAACCAGCTGTTGCCAACAGTGTTGGGTCCACTCACCTCAGACAATGGTGGCTCCAGATGTATGCGGTTGACACCCATGATTATTGTCACCACGGCCTAGGTCTGAGCCATTTTTGATATTACATCCCATCTGGTTGAGAATATAAGTAAGTTAAATGTCAACATAGGTAATCTCAGATCTTCACTTAGATTTATTCTTAGCTTTGGTTTTCTTCTTCTTTTTCCAGGGGAAATTTGTGTTCGTGTCCTTTATGAAGTTTATATCTCCACTACCTGGCATTACATTTTATGACACACATGGCCCGGTCCAACAAGGTCTCATTTCTGTCAGATCTGGCCTTCATAACAAATGAGTTTGACACCCCTGGACTAGACGGACCGTCGGTCTGATCCCACAGAGCTGTTCTGACGTTCTAAGGTGTCTAGCAGTTTTCCCTCTAAGCTAAATTAGTGTGAGCTGGATCACAATTTTTTTAACCTCCGGCTCACACGTTTTTGTCTCAGCTCAGGAAGGATGGCTCCTGAGCAACCTAATTTATGCAGCGGCCAAATTGCTCGCTCACAACTTTAATGCCAGGAGCTCACAAGGTAGGATTTCAGCTCACAAGACTCCACAGCTTAGAGGGAGCATTGGTGTCTAGGGTAGACCGCTTGAGGAATTTTCTACATCTTTGCCCAAACAGAGCAATCTCTTCCATGTTCAGTGTTCCTTCAAGGTAAAATTTTAAAAAATGAACGCTAATTTCCTTGTCCCGCCGAGGCGACAGGACTCTTGGTTCTGCCAAAGAGCAGGTATTTGGAGAAGAACAGAATGTGTCAGGCAGGCAACGGAGGGTGGAATGGAGGGGAATCGAGCTGATGGATGTGGACTTCTTTTGCAGTGGTTCAATGGAGTTTTCTCGTGCTCACCCTTCCACACAAATACCTCTCGTATTTAAAAAAAATCCAGCAATTTGTGCCCTCTGGGGATAACGTATCTGCACGTCACCTCAAAGATATTTCCATTCCATGTAACACGTCCATAACCCTACTGCATATCTTACTTATTCTTTGTTTAGATTCTGGCTTTTCGCATAGTTCCCTCATCCTCTGCTTAATCCTCACAACAATAACTCTGTGAGGTAGGCCAGGCCAAGAGATTGTGAAGGGTCCAAGATTCCACTGCTGAACTACTCTTACTGTAATTTTTTTTGGGGGGGCTAATATCCAGCCAGTACTTTTCTGCTTGTAGAAGAAGAAGAAGAGATTGGCCTTATACCCCGCCCTTCACTCGGAATCTCAGAGCGGCTTACAGACCCCTTTCCCTTCCCCTCCCCACTCTTCCACTTGCAGCTGCTGGTGTGACCTTGGGCAAGCCATAGTTCTGTCAGAGCTGTTCTCTCAAGGACAGTTCTGGAAAGAGCTCTCTCAGCCTCACCTACCTTACTGGGTGTCTGTTGTGGGGAGGGGAAGGGAGAGGAGTTTGTAAGCCGCTCTGAGACTCCGAGTGAAGGGCGGGGTATAAATCCAATATCTTCTTCTTCTCTTCTCTCTTCTGTTTCCTGTTATATTTTTCTAAATGAGGATCCTTTGGACACCCGTGTATATGCCCTCAAAATGACTGCGTTTGGGAAAGGGTTAGATCTCCTAGCTTGGCCTTGATTATGTCTAATTTATTTCAGGGAACTCTGCCTGCACTGTGTCTCATCTTGAGGTTAATTTGGAAGAAAAATATGAGGGAATGGGATTGATCTCCTACAGCGAAAAAACACGACGTGATCTAATAGTGCATTAGCAGTAAGCAAGAGGGTCATGGATAATGGATAGAGATGAAAAGCAGACGTTCCAGGTTGGCAGACAGCAGTTTGCGCTCTGATGCTTAAAGGGGTACATGAAAACATCTGCCCGATGTGACGACAGGAACCTCACAAACTTAGATTTGATTTTTTGTAAGAGGCAGTATCCCTATTCTTGCTACAACATTCTGCGGAAGTCTTATGGCAATGTGTTCTTTTGTTTCTTTATTTAGGAATATTTCTATGGTGCCTATTTAGAGTCCCTCTTGAGGTGGCTTACGATTAAAATGGCTTAATATTGGAGGGTTAGGGTTGCCAGGCTCCAGGCAGGACCTGGAGATCTCCCATGATTACAATTGATCTCCAGAGAACATAGATCACATTACGTGGAGTAAATGGCCACTTTGGAAGGTGGGATCCAGTGTTCTCTCTAAGCCGAGTTCGTGTGAGCTGGTTTATAGTTTTCTAGCCTCCAGCTCCCTCATTTTTGTCTTCGCTCAGGAAGGAGGGCTCCAGAGCAAACTAATGTATGCAGCAGCCAAATCGCTCCCTCACAACTTTAATGCCAGCAGCTCACAAAGTAGAATTTCTGCTCACAAGACTACACAGCTTAGAGGAAGCAGTGAATCCCTCTAAGCTGAGTTAGTGTGAGCTAGCTCACTGTTTTTTAGCCTCCGGCGCACACATTTTTGTCTTCGCTCGGGAAGGAGGGCTCCAGAGCAAACTAATGTAAGCAGCACCCAAATAGCTCCCTCACAACTTTAATGCCAGCAGCTCACAAAGTAGAATTTTTGCTCATAAGACTACACAGCTTAGGGGGAGCAGTGAATCCCTCTAAGCTCAGTTAGTGTGAGCTAGCTCACAGTTTTTTAGCCTCTGGCACACACATTTTTGTCTTAGCTCAGGAAGGGGCGGCTCCAGAGAAAACTAATGTATGCGGCAGCCAAATCGCTCCCTCACAACTTTAATGCCAGCAGCTCACAAAGTAGAATTTTTGCTCATAAGACTCCACAGCTTAGAGGGAGCAGTGAATCCCTCTAAGCTGAGTTAATGTGAGCTGGCTTACAGTTTTCTAGCCTCCGGCTCCCTCATTTTTGTCCTAGCTCAGGAAAGGAGGGCTCCAGAGCAAACTAATGTATGCGGCAGCCAAATTGCTCCCTCACAACTTTAATGCCAGGAGCTCACAAAGTAGAATTT